TTTTATTGATTTTAGAGAGTGGAAAGGGGGTGGGGTGGGGAGAAGGGGGGTGGGAGAGAGAGAGAGAGATGTGAGAGAGGAGAAACATCGATTGGTTGCCTCCTGCATGCTCCACAACCGGGGATTGAACCCACAATCTGGGTATGTGCCCTGACCAGGAATCAAACCTGCCACCCTTTGGTGTATGAAACAGCGCTCCAACCAACCGAGCCACCGGGCCAGGGCCCCTCAATCTTTGTTGCATTATTGATGGTAAAGTTCCCAAAGCTTTGGCACAGGCTACCCCTCAACATGTAGCTTCAGTTCCTTAGCATACGGGTGCTGATTTAAGCTGGGGCTCTATGCACTGTTTTGATGCATGTGTTCAACAAGTCAAGACGATTTTACATGGTTGTGTTTTATCAACACTAAAGACTGTTAAAACCAAAATGCAAGGACTCTGCAAAAATCCCCCTGTCCTGGAAAGGGACGCTGATGTGGTTTTGCTGGGGCTGCTTGTTGTGTAAAATCATCTTGCTTCCTCCGCAAAACACTCAGAGACAGAGCTTTGAAATGCACGAGCATTTGGTATTCTCTTTACTTGGGGTTGAATGTGGCTTTACAGTTTCCTGGTTAACATTTCCCACACAATTGATATTCCAGAAGGTTCTTTTGCCTGTGGAACAGCCCCTGGGGCATTTTCTTTCCTCGGCCCCGTCATAAGAGACAACGCCACCGGGATTGAGTCAAGATAAACCCGAGACCCAGCATCCTTTTCTGGAAGCTTATGTGGGATTTAAACAACATATGCTGGTTTTCATGGTTTGGTTTAATGAACAGAAGTTTGGAAACGTCCTTTTGCATCCTGTTTCTCTGTTAAAAATGTTGCTGTTACTGGGATTTGACTTCACAACCCAGTGGGAGGGGGGCAGGTCATCGCTGCTATTTCCTGTTGCTTCTGGGCCAGGAATGCTGTGAGCACAGTGAGACGTTCCAGGCAGAAGCCCACTGTGAAAACAAGTAAACCAGGAGGCGATCCTTGTAGAAGGAAGGGAATTGATTTTTTTACCTAAAAAGAGAAAGGAACTTGCATGTTGTGTCCATCCTGGCATAGTCGGCGTGTCCCTAGGAAGGAGCGTGGCAGCGACTGGTCTCCTTTCGCTTGTCCTCCTTACCTCCTCCAGTCGGAATCCTGGGCTTCTCTTTCTCTCCTTGAGTTAAAGTCCTGATGAAATAGCTTTAAGAGGTACCCTAATCTGTCCCCTGAATATATTGCCTTGCTGTCTTTGCTTCTCACCATGACTCCCCAGTAAACGGGGGCGTTTCCATGCCCTTCATCAGCACTGTGGCCCATATAGAAGTGTTCCCTGGTGGGGGGAGGAGGGTGGGTTGCTCTTGGGATTGAAGTCAGGGCTCCCAGGTGTCTTGTAAATACGAGACTCACTGAGCAGCCTCTCCCACTCTGCTGTGTCTGAGCAGCCCCTGTCACTCTGCTTTGTGTGCCTGATTAGCTCCTGTCACTTGCACAGGATGTGCTCATTACAAATGGACCCCAGCATGATTTTTTCTGCTTTGAAAGTCCAAAGGGGCCTTTGGAGGTCATTCTTGCTGTCCCTTCACCTCTAGGGATGTGGGGCATATTTTCATACTTTGAAAATCTCTATTTTGAGTTTAAATAATGAAGACCTTGTTCAAGGGTTGTTTCTTATTCTTAATAAACTCCCTCAGCGGGGCGGGGGCAGGGGTGTCCTTTCAAGGCTCTGACATTTCTAGTATCCACAGTCTCGATCGTGTAGCTCTCTGCTGGAGGCCAATATGGGGCTGAGGTCTGACTTGCTCACATACTGATGAACAAACTTTTCAATGATTCCCTCAAATCCCAGAGTCCTCAGTTAGGGCAGCTTACCCCTCCACTTCTTCCCTTCCTACTATAATGAGTGACTTTCAATTCTCTAATCAGAGAGGAGGAGAAACCCTGAGTGACACAGGAAACTCTGGTAGGGTTTTGATTTTGCTTACAGCCAGGAAACCACTGCAGTCTGACCTTCCTACTAGCTAGGTGGGCACTGAAGTCCACACCATGGCCAGCTTACCCTGTGGCAGCTCCTGGCTGGGAGTCAGTTACTTGTAACCTAGTGAAGATTCCAGGAGTGTTACTTTGGGTGACTGACACCCCTTCTTTGTACTCCTAATACTTGTGTCAAGTTAAAATTAGCTATGATTTCTTACCTATATTGTTTCTCTGAAATGACCTTTTCCCTTGGTAATTAATGAAATGATAAAACTGTTTCATTCCTCATCTTAGTATCTTCCTGTGCCTCCCCCTTGCCTGTGGGACAAGCTGTAAGATCATCAGCATGGCATCCCAACTTATCTCTGGCCAAGCCCCCACCCTCACGCTTTGCAGCCATGCAGTTTACAGGGGTCAGTCCAGGCCATGTCCAGTCTTCCTTTATGCCTGTGTGCTTGTCCCATGTCCTGGAAAACCCTTATCCAGGATTTTGCCTGGGAGACTACTTCAGGAGCCAGCTTCATGAATGTTACCTCCCCCGGAATCCTTCCCTGGTCTCCGCAGGCTGAGTCCAGGTTCCTCCCCTTCTCCCAGAGAACCAGAACTCGGTCAGAGTTGGCTCAGCTCTTTGACGGTGGGGCCAAAGCTTCGGCATTGTTTGGACCCAAACATCTACCAAGTGAATGTGTGGCATTTATAATTTGTCACTTTGAGTGTTGCTTATCTCATAAACAGCAAGCATGTTACGTTCCCGTTAGTTTTCTCAAAGTGCCAGGATTGGACGTCCTGTGAAACAGCACTGAGCAATCAAAAAAACTGGTTCTTACCTGCTCAGACCAATCAGACATGTTCTGCGTTTGCTTTAGATCTTGGAAGCCCAGAAGGCATTGCCCTTGACCACCTTGGCCGCAACCTCTTCTGGACAGACTCTCGCCTGGATCGAATAGAAGTTGCAAAGCTGGACGGCACCCAGCGCCGGGTGCTGTTTGAGACGGATCTGGTGAATCCCAGAGGCATCGTGGTGGACTCCGTGAGAGGGTACTGTGGTGTCAGTCTGTGTGTGTGTGCGCTGTGCTTGCCCCACCCTTCTGGGTGCTCACTGTGAGGCTCCAACGCAATGTCACCCTGAAATGAGTGCCGACAGCTGGTGGTGATCAGCGTCCACAGTGAAATGCCACAACCCATGTTACATTGTGGGCTTGATGCCTGTTCCACTTGCAGGTCTTTTACCAGGGGACTGACTGTAAGTTGGGTACTTCCATGTGGGTTGAATGTGGATCAGTAGCCAAGTTTTATGAAGAGCTTCAGAAGAGCTTCAAGTACAAATGTACCCCGGGGCTGCTCCCTGGGGCCACCCAGCATGAACACCTTAGAGACCCCTCTGATGGTTTCGTCAGCACCTCAGTGCTTTCTCTCCCTTTCCTACTGCAAGGTCCGAGTGTGACACACCAGGCCCTGGGCTCTCGCTGCTGAGGCCCTGTCACCGGTCTATGCCTCCCTGTGTGGTGAGAGCACATGTGGTTCCCACGTGCTTATACCAGCCTGATCTTTTAACAGCTTTGAGATATTGAAGGGAAGTGAATTCAATATTCACAGAATAACCAGTTCATGTGAAGAACCAAAGGAAAGTGTGTCTTGTTAACTCCAGGTCCTTTTTAGCCAGTCTGTGTTTTCACGTCTGCTCACGTCTTCATCACACGTTCTTTCCATGTGTTTTTTTAATAAACTCTCTCTCATGCATCTTCATTATTTCTCCTCCTCTTTCCCCTCATTGCTCTCCTCTAGGAACCTTTATTGGACAGACTGGAACAGGGACAGCCCCAAAATTGAGACTTCCTACATGGATGGCACAAACCGGAGGGTCCTCGTGCAGGATGACCTGGGCCTGCCCAACGGGCTGACCTTTGATGCCTACTCATCCCAGCTCTGCTGGGTGGATGCAGGTGACTCCTGGGGTGGAGGAGTGCCTTTTCTCTTTAACCAGTTATGTGACCCACTGGGAGCCACTGTGTCTGTACATCAAGAGGATCCGTGACGGGAAAAGGGCATGAGATAACCTTTTCTTTCCTGCACAGAAGTAGCTGCATATCCTTGCTCTGAAATTCACAATTTATCTGGGGGGAGGGGGGAATCCTCCATCATTTGAGTCTAGGGTCAGCAAACTACAGCCCATGCGCCAGTCCAGCCTGCCACTGCTCTGGTGTAACCCAGGCCCTGGAAACAGTTTTTACATTTTTAAACATTACATTTTAAATGGTTACATAAATGCCTACTTAATGTCCTTGATTTTGCCTCTTGGCCCACAGAACCTAAAATAGTTACTATCTGGTCCTTTAAGAAAAGTTTGCCGACCCCAGAGCCTGTCCCCATTGTGGTATCTATTAGTCACAGCTTGCATTCCTGTAGCTCCCACTTGTGCCCAGGGGCCAGGGCAGGACTTGAGCCAAGGGAGGTAAAGTAATATCCTTCTGACATGTGCCCCAGCCCTGGCAGGTTTGGGGTATCCCTCGGGCAGGGACTATGGGCAGGGTGCTCAGGGAGGAACATTAGTCGTCCATCCATCTCTGGAGAACCTGCTCTGGTGCCGCAGGGGTGTAGGGATTAGTCTTGGACTTGGAGCACACAAGAGGTAAGGTGTGCGGTTAAAGGGAACGCAGCCTTAGTCGTCACGGGCACGGGCATGCGGCCGGCACATGTGCTGGCCAGCGGTGCTGTTTAGTTTGTAGGCCCTGAATTCAGGGAGGGATCTGGGAGGCTTCAGGGAGGACGGACTAGTGAGAGCCGGAAGGTGCTGCCTTCCCCCTGAGCCCCTGCTGCTCCGGGAATGAGCTCTGCCCCACTCACCTCCCAGCAGAGCCAGCGTGGGTGCCGATGGAGGTGGGTGTTGACCAACAAGGGCAAGAGAGAAGGGGCGGCTTTCCAGTTGTGAGGAGCACATCTCCTGCGTTCCCCAGGATCCGCCATTGTCATGCCGGATTTCTCTTGCCCCCGCTCTCGTTGCTCTTGCTCAGTGACACAAAGGGGCCATTTCTTGTGCAAACAATGAACGACTTGTTCTCTCTCACACAGGCACCAGCCGGGCCGAGTGCCTGCAGCCTGGGCAGCCCAGCAGACGCAGGGTTCTTGAAGGGCTCCAGTATCCTTTTTCGGTCACGAGCTTCGGGAAGAATCTGTATTACACGGACTGGAAGACGTATGTCAGCGGCCTGACCAGCAACCCTTCACCTCTGGGAGGCTGAGCCCTTGCCTCTGCTGCTTTGCTTGACCTCCTACCTTCTAAATGCCCCCTCTGCCCTGGCCTTCTGGTTGTCTGGATAGGGCAAGGCAGGGCTCCTGAGGGAGAGGGCGCACCATTTGTCACGTGGATGCCGCAGTATGGGCAGCAGCTTCAAGTCTGTAGTCTCAGGTTTTCTGAGCACTGAGCATGCTGCCCTTTCCCCGAGAGCTGGCCCAGTCCCTTGGCTGGTGGGCTCCATGCCCACTCCATGCCCCACTTCATTATTCTTAAACTGCCACAGCACCTTGACCACCCCTTCCTGCAGAAAGGAGGGTTAAACCGAGCAAGCGCTGGGCCAGGGGCATCTGTGTAGGAAGCAGGTTTCCCAGCTTGGAATTCAGTGCCAAAGGAGGGGATGCCAGCTGGTTTTTGTCCTTTTTGAAGGAGACAGAGAAATGCAGGCTTGACCCACCCCAGCGGAGGGAGGGATGGCTAGGGAGCAAGGCAAGGGTATCTGTTTACAGCCTCTAGTTTATCCCCTAAACTGTGAAAGAGGCTGCTCTATAAAGTTGGAGCCATCAGATTTGTTTTACCTTCTGTCCCTTGGTTCTTGTAGGAATTCTGTGGCTGCTGTAGATCTTGCTGTTTCCAGAGAGACGGACACCTTCCACCCCCTGAAGCAGACCCGGCTGTATGGCATCACCACTGCCCTGTCTCAGTGTCCCCAAGGTAAATCACCTGTGCTCTTACTGTTCAGGGGCCAGGGGCACCCTGGGACTCAGAGCCCACACTCTGGCTGTTGCCTGTGCAGCTGATCACATGGCAGGTGAGACGCAGTCCCTTTCATCAAGGGTCTTCATTATTTGGTGGGTGAGTCAGATGACTAGGAAACATTCGGGAATTCATTGGACAGGGAAAAGCACTGAATCTTGGTCTGGATCTAGAAGCATGTGGTCTTCGGATACCAAACAGGAACATCATCAATGTTAGGATCTCTCTCTGCTGCTTTGAAAGTCCACTTACTTGGCCTAACAGCAACAACAGTAATTAACAATCAAAATAATTACAGACATGGATATAGCACTGTAAACTGGGTGCTTTGCATAGATTAACTCCCTCATTGTTCTAAGTGCTTTGTATCCATTAGTTCATTTAATCCTCATAGCAACCCAATGAGGTAGGTACTCGTATTGTGCTCATTTTGTAAGAAAGGAAACCGAAGCCACTTGCCCAAAGTCACACAGCTGACAGTGGCAGGGCCAGGGGCATCTAGGCAGCCTGGCTCTGGAGCCTGTGCTGGCTCTTTAAGGCCTTTCCCCTCATGTACTCTCCTCTCTGGCTTCCCTCCTCCCCCCAGTCAAGTGCCAAGTCAAGTGAGCAAGCTAGATAGAGGGTACTTTGTGCTTCAAATTCCAACTCAGTGTTATAATCAGAGCAAGACTGCTCTCCCTGAGATCCACATGGCCCCCAAATCAGAATTCAGGCTTTTTGACTATCTGGCAAATCCTCAATGCTGAGGAAACAGCCAGGAGGTGAGCTTAGCTGAGTGCCTGGAACTGCCTTCCCTGCTCCTTGGAGCCCCCACAGGCTTGGCCTCTGTGCTCTTAGAGGGCTGTTGAACTGTTTGCTGCCTCTTCCAGGTCACAACTACTGCTCAGTGAACAATGGTGGCTGCACCCATCTCTGCTTGGCCACCCCAGGAAGCAGGACCTGCCGTTGCCCTGACAACACACTGGGAGTTGACTGTATCGAGCGGAAATGAAGACAAGAGTGCCTTGTTCCCTCACCAAGTATTTCACAGCAACACCCTACTTCAAAGGGTCTAGACTAAAAACTGTCTGACTTGGTGGCTGAGTGGCCACCAGCCTGAGCCTCAACAACGTTCCCTCATTGTCCCGAAAACATAAGCCCTGAGCTTCTGGAATGGGAAAGTCTCTTTTCCTACACAAAGACAGGACCACTGTCGTGTCCCCCCTCCCAAATCAAATTCCAGACCCTTAGGCAAGCATATACAGCCCTGAGTGAGGGTTATATGCCCCATCCCTGTGCTCTGGAAGTGTTCCCTGGCTTAGCACCCCAGTGGTGAACAGACCTCCCAGGCCTGAGCTGCACCTTCCCTGTGGCCTTACAAGCTCAACCTCACTGACACACCCATGACTTTGTCAGCTCCTTAATACCAGCCAGGGCCGCAGCCCATTGGAGCTTGAATTGGGAGACACCCTTTCTGTGAATAATTGGAGTTTGTTTTCAGGGGCAAATATATCCCCAAGAATCACAAGGTTTGGGGAACATGTAGATCGTTTATATAGCCCAATCCATAAATTAGTTTCACTTTCTTTTTATATTTATCATTCTATATCAAGCTCTCTATATCAAATGTTTGTCATGATTTTGTATAATTTTTATAACTTTTTTAAATGGTAAATTCTTGAACTGTGGAAACCATTGAAGGTGCTTATTAACTGTTACCCCAGTTTATTCAAGTGTTGGATGACTCCTTGAGTTTACAGCTATATAAAATATTAGTGCAGAAAATAAAAATAAAATTTTTGGTAATAAATCTTCCTCTATCCTCTCTGAATAAAGAAATTAATATCAGGAGGTTGATTCACAATGGAAAGACAACCATATGATAATCTTTGGACTCCATTGTTATGAGAGTAGTTTGTTTCCCAGTTGAGTCCACAAAAGACTGAGGGGCTTGTGATTGGCTTTAACACTAACTCAGTCATACACCCCAAATCACCCTTTTGGACATTGTTTTCATTTAGAAACATTTCAGTTTCCTCGTTTAGTTCTGAAGATGAGCTGTTTTTCTTCAATCCTCACCTTCAGAATAAACACTTTCCTGGCACTGGCCATGAATTGAAACCCTGGTCAGTTCTGAGTGCCACCAGTGGCTGGCCCCTGGTGGAATAAATAGGCCTTTGACTTGGACGGAGTAAGGGGGCCTCAGAAGTTGCAGGAATTAGGTTCTTAAAGCTGCATTGTGAAGGGAATTGGTGCATAAGGGCCCACTGAACCAGGGCCATCAGTGCAATCAGTTATAGCCTGCAGATAAGAGTTTCTTGAAGGGAACAATTTATAGTTAGGCTAAAACCTCCAGTGTTTGATTCTGGTTATAAAATCTAGTTAGAGGTGACATCAGGGAGGACAGTGGAGTAGGAGGCTCCAGGAATTCATCCCTCTATCAAAGCAGTAGTTGAAGTGGCAGGAGCTGAGTAAACCACTTTGGAATCCCAGCTTGAGAAGAACACTCAGCACCCAGGTGAGAGTTTGATGAAGAAGCAGGTAAATTTGGGTCAGTTTCAGCTTTCCCTTAGCTGTGGCAACCATTCCCATCACCCAGCCCATAATAGTCAGCTGTCAGGACAGCAGTCCATGTTCCTAGTGTGGCTTGTTAGAGCCTGTGGGCAATAACGACTTTGTTAAAAAATTAGGGTTGTAGGTCCTGATTGCTGCTTTTAATCATTGGACGAGGGGAGGCAGCACATGGGGAAATTCTTCATGACACTGGATTTGGCAATAATTTCTTGTATATAACACCAAAAGCACATTGGTCTTCATCAAAGTTGAAATATTTTGTACATCAAAGGACACAATCAAGAAAGTGAAAAAAAATTCCAAGATGGTGGTGGATTAAGTGGAAGCTACACTGACATTCTCCCAGGACCAAACTGGAATTACAACTAAAATATAGAAAAACCAACTGAAGACTGGCTGGAGAGAACCCTTATAACCAAGGACAGGAGGTGGAGACCACATAGAGACTGGTAGGAAGTGTGGAGGTGCAAGAGGACTGGCCAGGATCCCACAGGCAGCAGCTGAAGATCTGGAGGGATATCTCAGCTGTGGGGGACTCCCGCTGAGAACTCTGGGATCTAAACCCCAAGCTGGGCTCTCCAGCCAGAGCACCAGAACTGAGAAAGGTGCCCATATAACATCTGGCTGTGAAAAGCAGCAGGGTTTCTGTCTCTGCCAGAGAGAGACAGCTGGAAATGCAGGCACCCTCTTAAAGGGCCAATGCACAAAGTTTCATGTGCAGCCACTCACCTTGGGCTCCAGTGGAGGGGGGGCAGAGAGGACTAGAGCTGTGTGAGGAAAATCCAGTGGTACTAGCTCTGGATAAGTCTTCCTCTATCCTATCCGAATAAAGAAATTAATGTCAGGAGCTTGGAGGGCGGCCATCTGGGTTCCTGTGCTGAGTTATTCCCCCATACTGCAGAGGACTTCTCTCTCAGGCAGACCTTTATCATCCAAGCAGCTTTTGCCTGGGGCAGGGAGCAATTATCCCACCCTGTTGGAAAACCTCTTAACTCATCCTGTGGAGTGTACGCCTTGCAGTGGTCTACATCCTGAGGCCCATTGAGGGACTAAGAATAACAGTCTGCAGGCAGAGGCAGAACTTTGGGTGCTTTGAGTCTTTACCTGATCTGCTTCTGGATCCAGGCCTTGGAAAAGCTGACCTTGGTACGCGTCATGGTCCTTTCCAAACACACCCAGCCCCAGCAGAGGGTGCCACAAGCTGTGGATTGTTGATAGCTCCTAACAGGGTATCCAAGGCCAGTCACAAAGAGCGTCTGACATTGGCCTGCACCAGAGACCTTCCAAAAAGACTGGGAGTCCTAGTAGATTTACCTAATAAGTAGAAACAAACCCAAACAGGCAGCCAAAATGGGGGAGACAAGCCCCAAGTGAAGAACAAGAGAATTCTCCAGAACTAAATGAGATGGAGATAAGCAACCTGTCAACCTATTGCAAGGATGCTCAACAACATGAGAAAAGATGGAAACTGAAGGACATTAAAAATGACAGCAGAAATAATACATTGGAAGGAATAAACAAGATTAAGGGCAGCTGAAGATGGGATCAGTGAATTAGAAGATGGTAGAAAAACAATCAGATCCAAAAATAGAAAAACCAAAAACAGGAGGACAGTCTAAGGGAGCTGTGGGATGGCATGAAACATTATTTGCATCATAGGGATGTCAGAGGTCGAAAGTAAGGAAGGGTTAGAGAAACTGAAGAAATAATGGCAGAAAACTTTTCTAACCTGGTCAAGGAAAAAGTCACACAAGTTCAGGAGGCACAGAGAGTTCCAAGCAAGAACCACCCGAAGAGGCCCACACCCAGACACATCATAATTAAAATGCCAAAAATTCAAGACAATAGTAAAGGCAACAAGAGAAAAGCAATCTGTTACCTACAAAGGAGCTCCCGTAAGGCTGTCAGCTGACTTCTCATCAGAAACTCTACGGGCCAGAAGGGAAGGGCATGAAGTATTCAAGGTAATGAAAACAAGGATCTGAAACCTAGAGTACTCTATCCAGCAAGGCTGTCATTCAATATAGATGGTGAAATAAAGAGCTTCCCAGACAAAAAAGGCTAAAGGAGTTTATCACCACCAAACCAGCAGTACAGGAAATGTTAAAGGGACTGCTGTAATAAGCAGAATGCTTGGTAAAGCTCCCCTGTGAAGATGTCTGGACCAGGGCTTTTGTTTGCTGGGTTTTTTTTTTATTGCTGCTTTGATTTCATCAGTTGTTATTGGCCTATTCAGGTTTTCTAATTCTTCCTGATTCAGTTTTACATGATCTCACTTGTACATGGAATCTAATAAACAAAATAGATCCAGAGACATGGAACAGACTGAGGAATCTCAGAGGGAAGGCAGGGGTGGGTGGGAGAGATTAATCAAAGAATTTATATGCATATATGTATAACCCATGGATACAGACAACACTGTGATGAAGAGCTGGGGGTGGTGGTGGAGAAGACCAGTGGGGGGGAAAAGGGGAAATTTTTTTAAGACTTTCAACAATAAAGATAAAAAAAGAAAAATGTGAAAAGACAACCCATGGAAGGGGAGAAAGTATTTGCCAATCTGGTATCTGAAAGTGGTTAGTATCCAGAATATATAAAGAACTACAATTCAACGATAACAAAAACATCCCAATTCAAAAATGGACAAAGGGTTTGAATAAACATTTTTCCAAAAAAGATACACAAATGGCCAAAATGCTCATGAAAACATGCTAACATCACAAATCTTTAGGGAAATGCAAATCAAACACAATTAGATATTTCAACAAACACCGTGTTGAGGAGGGTGGAGAATCAGGACTCTGCACAGTGGAACCACATTACCGGTGAGAATGAAGTGGTGCAGCCACCATGGGGGATAGTTTCATGGTTCCTCAAAAAGTTGAATATAAAGTTACTGTGTGGCCCGGCAATTCCACTTCCAGGTACATACCCAAAGGAATCGAAAGCAGGGGCTGTAACATACTTGTCCTCCCCATACTCTCAGGGTCCCAGGAACCACTGCCCCCTGGTCTCTTGGCTTCAGGAGGTCACAGCCCCTGGCACTATGCCCTGGGACTGCTCTGTTCCTAGGAGATGCCCCACGTCCCAGCCATAACTTTAAACCTCAGATTATCCTAATGGGAGTACACCCGTTTTTTGCTGAAACTCTAGCTGATGCACAAGTCCGTAACTGTGACCTCTACTTTTGAGTATGTTTGAAGATGTCTATAGGTTTAAAAAACATTAAAATGCTATTTGATTTTATTTCTATTTAATACTCACCTGAGGACATTTTTTCCATTGCTTTTCAGAGAGAGTGAAAGGAAGAGAGACACATTGATGAGAGAGAGAGACACCGATCGGTTGCCTCCTGCACTTGCCCTGACCAGGTCTGGGGATCAAGCCTGCAACCGAGGCACGTGCCCTTGGCTGGAGTGGAACCCAGGACCCTTCAGTTTGCAGGCAGACACTCTAACTACTGAGCCAAACCGGCTAGGGCTAAAATGCTATTTTATAATCACACTTCACATATACTTTTGTCCAATTAGGATGCATGTTAGTTACAGGAAACTAGCAGGGATGAATTACACAGATGCACAAAAATGTACCACAAAGCCCTGTTTGTTTGGCTAGCTCACTGATGTTCAGATGGGAGCCCTGGGATGGCAGGCAGCTTGACCTGCTCACTCAGGGAGTTCTGGTTCGGTGCAGTAATTGCTGTCATTCCAGGCTCAGACTTGGCTATATTCGGGAGTGTGGGCACCCCATCCTTGCTCAGGGTTCTCTAGTCCCAGATCTAACCCCCTGGGTCTACAAACCTGCTACGAGGATGCCCCAGCACAGCCTGACTGCAGCAGGCAGGCTGTCCACTGCAGGTGGCCCTCCAAGGCTGGGCCTGCTCGGGCTGTCCCCACTGGGCTCTCCTGAGCCGCCTCATCTGGCCACCTGGACTTCAGGGACGCCAGTGGCTCCTTCAGCCCTCTCCACCCCTCTGCAGATGGACAAAGGGCAGCGTCTCCTCCGGAGAAACACAGGCAGTCGGTGTGCCGCTCTCCTCCCCGGCTGCCCTTTCTTAGGGCCTCCCTGCAGAGGTCCATGGGACATGTGACGGGCCTCCCCCCAGCTGGTAGGCCCCACTCCACTCGCAAGAGCTCGGGAACCCAGTGAGGTCCTGCCCCCCTCCCGCTGCGCTGGGCTTTTCTGGGGGCCGTGCGGGGTGGAGGCCTCTGCGTGCTGTCTCGCACTCTTGTGTAA